AAAACATACCACCAGGTCACTAATCAACTTTGTTAACGGGTGTCCTTGAGAGAGGGACCACGGGAGCGTCCCTCACAGGCCCAAAGGGCGCTGGAGCCGACCTTGCACCCCTCATGGACCAGGCCCCCCTGCTGGCACTCCAGCCCTGGGGGCAAACCAGCGTGTCCCTCCGCCCCCCCTTCCCTGCCCTGGCATCGCCGAACTGGCCCCCAGCTGCCGTCACCACCCGTGACCCCGTGACTCCCCGCTTCTCACACGCCCGACTCCACCGCCACTGTTAATTTCAATCGGAGGAATATCCTCCTCTCCCTGTCCCCCCTTGTGCCCCAGACGCACCCACCACCACCTACCAGCACTCAAGTCCTTCTAGCAACTATTCGCTTCTCCACCGGTTAGCCCCGGGCTCTGCTGGCTGCAGGGGACGCTCACCCTGTCCCCAAGTTTCCAGGCAGCTCAAAACTTGAGGCCTCATTCCCAGGACGCTGGTAGTGACCTGGGCCCCCCAGGAGGCCAAGTGTAAGGCTGCGTGGCCAGGGGCCCCCCCCTCTCCATCTCTCCTTGGATCCCACCAGTAAAAGCCTCCCAGGACCAGACCCGCCACAGACAACTGCCAGGCCGCTGCAGGGGCAACAACCAACAACCCGATGTCCCACCCGGATAACAAAGTTTTGGCTTCCTGATTTCGACCAAATACCGCAAGCTCCTATTTCTCTATGACCCACCCAAAGGTCACAGTCCGAAAAACCCCAGCTCTTTTCCCGCCCAAAATTCCCTCAGCCCACTTAAAACATATAAGAGGCCTTCCCCCCAGTCAAAACGGACACAAAATTCTCAGGCCAACCCTTTCTTGGAACGCCGAGAAGTCTCAACCCAAGGAAGCCACGCAATAAAGTCACTTTTTGCCCCCACTCCCATCTCAAGGTCTCTTTCTTTCAAGGCCGCGAAAAAAACTTTCTCCATTTGGTGCCAAAAACTCAGGAAGGGAAGCCTTAGCCGTGCCGGCCCTGCCCTTGAGGCCTGCTGGTTGTCCTATTCCCCTCTCGTGTCGTCCTACCACCTCCGGACTGACCTCTCAGTAGACACCCAAGGACCGTCTAATTGCTCTGGGGCATCCCTCCTGCCCTTGTGCGCCTACCTCCGCATGTTCCATTCCAGGGTCCTCCTGTCATAAAACCCATGGGCCCCAAGTCAGAGATCCTCCACCATAGACTGAGTGCCTCAGGGACGCCCCATCCACTATCCATCCTTCCCCCAAGGCTCAAGAGCCTTCCCTCGCATAGGCATGATTCAGGGACCTGGGCCGCCGCCCTCTCTCCCCTTTGTGATTTCTCCCTCCACAGTGAAAAGCGCGTTCTACGCCTCCTTTTCCCTAATGAACTCGCCCAGCCCACACCACGAGTTTCCGCCTATCTTTTACGACAAAGGCATGTGGGGAATTTGACCTGGGCAAATACACCACACAAATAATATTTGTTTAATTTAAACACACAATATCCCTACAACCAATTACAACTTACGTTACGATGACACAAAAGTGAAGCTGGTAAACACAACATAGAGACATGGCCCCGACCAACAAGTCACCACTAACGGACCGGCCACCATGGCCCTTGGTCAGGCCCAAAGCTCTGTCCCACGCAACGTGGAGCGATAGTGGGAAACACCAACCAGTACCACCCAAAAAAAAAAAAAAAGAAGTGTGTTCTTATTTGTTATAGGTACACCAATGTTCAGAGCAGCATTATTCTCAGTGGGTAAGCGGTAGAAACAACTCAAGTGTCTATCAATGAATGAATGAACCAAATGTAGCATATATACAATGGATTATTATTCAGCCTTGAAAAGGAATGAAATTCCGATACATACGACAGCATGAATGAGACTTGAAAACATTATTCTAAGTGAAATAAGACAAGACACATAAAGACAAATACTGAATGATTCCAATTATAGGAGGTAAAATCAAATTCATGGAGATGTAACAGAGGCAGGGGGAAAGAGGCAATGGGAAATTATTTTTTAATGGGTAGAGTTTTAGATAGGGGTGATGAAAAAGTTCCAGAGATAGTGGTGCCAGTTGAACAATGTAAATGTACTTAATGCCACTGACTTGTACACTTAAAAGTGGTTAAAATAGTGAATTTTTATGTTATGTGTATTTCATAATAAAATAAAAAGTGAGAAGTCAACCCATGGTATAGGAGATAAATTTGGAAATTTTATCTGATAAGAACCTTGCATCTAGAATATATGAAGAACCCTTACAATAAAGCACAAATAGCCCAATTACAAAATGACAAAGGATCTTTTTTTTGAGATAGAGTCTCACTCTGTCGCCAAGGCTAGAGTGAGTGCCATGGCGTCAGCCTAGCTCACAGCAACCTCAATCTCCTGGGCTCAAGCAATCCTCCTGCCTCAGCCTCCCTTGCGAGTAGCTGGGACTACAGGCATGCACCACCATGCCCGGCTAATTTTTTTCTATATATATTAGTTAGCCAATTAATCTCTTTCTATTTATAGTAGAGACAGGGTCTCACCCTTGCTCAGGCTGGTTTGCCGCCTGCCGAGATGTCGGCACCGCCGAGATTGGGCACACCTGCAATGTGTTGCTTGCCGCGGCCTCGCCCCCGCGTCCGGCCACCCGCTGCCCATCCACGCGGCGTTAATGTATGACAGAGCGTTACGCGCGTCACTCGAAGGCCGCCCGATGAAGTCCCGCGCCTCTCTCAGGCCGCCTTACGATCGCTGCTCATCCAGAACCAAGCCGCGTGGACCCCATTCCCCAGCAGGGGCCCCGTCCTTCGCACACATCAGCGTTTATCGACCCAGGTCCTGCCTCTGACGTGAGACACAAACTTAGGACCACGACGGAGGCTCCTTCACGACGCCGCATCGCGTCGACTGGTGAACGTGGCCTTGTAAACCTTCTCAATTCCCGAGGCGTGAACCGAGCGCGCGACGGCCCAACCAGGCGCAGCGCCCCCCGTGTCCCACGCCCAAAGGGGCCACACCCTAAGCGCCTTGGTGGTAGCCTGCGGCTGGTGGGACCCTGCAGAACGCCCATCAGACCTGTGTCGTGCGGTGGACAGCCGCCGCTCCACCAGCCGCCTGCCTCCAGTGCGGGCCAAGCAGGCGCCACTGGGGCCCAGCGGTGCCCGCAGCCACGTCCGCGAGCGCCATCAAGCTTGCCCGACGTGGTCAGAGGGACACTCGTAATGTTGACTGCCCCTTAGGGCAGAAGCTCGGAGACCCCCCCGCGCTCCTTGCTTCCTAGACCCCCGTGCCGATGGCGGTTTGCGGCCCGTGGCTGCCCAGTACGCGAGGAGGCCCAACTCCGGCGACTCCTGCCCACCCCCGCCCCAGCCCCAGGGTTACAGTCAAGGTAGCGGGTGAGGGCAGTGTCCTTTCCCTCTGAGTTACAAGGGCTCGCTACTCTGGTCCTGCTCCGTTATCCAGGCCCTGCTTATCCCTTCTCAGGTGTGGTCATGGGTAACCTACGGGCAATTCCCTCTCAGCCCCCCCACCCGCCCCCCGCGGTCCCCACAACCGGCCCCCCTCACCCACTCCTCCTTATATCCGCTCCGCAGCTCCCGGCTCTGCCCCTCGAAAAAAAAAAGAAAAACACTTTTAAGTTAAGACAAAGACATTGTTCTCATGCGCTATTGTCGTTACGTTGGAACAGCGTTATACCCCACACACTGAGACTGCTTTCAGGTGCCCTGTTCCCTTGAGAGACGGACACCGGGCGCCGTGCCTTCCCACAGCCAAATGCGCTTGAGGCCCGGCTGTCCACCCCTCAGGACCCAGGCCGCCCTGCCTGCACTCCAGCCCCTTGGCAACGCAGCGTCTCCCCACGCCCGCCGGCGCCCGGCGGTCCGCCCCTCGTCCCCTGCCTGGCCAATCCAACACTGCCAGCTGCGTCACGACGTGACCCGCCGCCGCTCCGCCCGTGACCGTCGGTCCGACCCAGACGCAACTCCCTCCCCTGGTCTCTTTTAGGGTGTCTTCTTGAGGAAAAATAAATATAAGACCCTGTCTTATTTTCGGGGAAACACAGTAAATATATACACACGTACATATTTATTTCTATTGTATAATTTTGAATATACTGTGTGTGTGTGTCTGTGTACATATACATATATACACGTACATATAGCCTCTGAGGACAACTGGAGGATATTTATTTTGTCCTTCATCTATTCTCGTTCAAAAATAACAAGAATAGGTATTATCATTATTTATAAGTGTTTTGTGTCTATTTTTTACTAAGAAACTTTTGAGGCTTTCAAAAGTTATTAATTAACCGAATGATATATCTAAGATCTTAAAGGTATATAAGGACAGGGAAATTATAATGTAGCTAATACATTAAATCCTTATGATTTGTAGCTTGTAAAAACTTTATAAAATTAAAACCTTTGAAATGGCATCCATTATTACGTTTCGTTTAGTTCAATATAAGTTTCTGCATATAATTTTGTGTTTTAAGCAGTTATGAGATCAGTGGTAATTTACTTATAAATCTAATATAGGAAATGTATAAAATTTAAGTCATAAGAGATATTACCCTCTTATTAAACAAACAAAAATACTGTTCCAGGCCGGGTGTGGTGGCTCATGCCTGTAACTCTGGGAGGCCAAGCCCAGTGGATACTTTGAGTTCAGGAGCTCAGGAGCAAGACCACGTCTCTAGTAAAAATAGAAAGAAATTAGCTGAACAACTAAAAATATATAGAAAAAATGAGCCGGGCATGGTGGCACATGCCTGTAGTCCCAGCTACTCGGGAGGCTGAGGCAGCAGGATTGCTTGAGCCCTGGAGTCTGAGGTAGCTGTGAGCGAGGCTGACGCCACGGCACTCACTCTAGCCTGGGCAACACAGTCATACTCTCTGCCTCAAAAAAACAAAAAAAAAACAAAAAGAAAACCTTTAAATTTAAACAAAAATATTGTTCCTCACATTATGTTTATGTTGAAATTAATTTTTTGTGAGAAAACATACCACACACTAAACTGTTTAAGGGTGTCCTTGAGAGAGGACCACGGGAGCGTCCTCACAGCCAAAGGGCGCAGGAGCCCGCGCTTCACCCCTCAGGACCAGGCCCCCTGCTGCACTCCAGCCCTGGCAACCAGCGTTCCCTCCGCCCCTTCCCTGCCTGGCCAATCCCGAACTGCGCCCCAGCTGCGTCACGACGTGACCCCGTGACCTCCCGCTCCCACACGCCCCGACTCCACCCACCTGTTATTTCATGGAGGAATATCCTCCTCTCTCTGTCCCTGTGCCAGACGCACCCACCCACCTACAGCACTCAAGTCCTTCTAGCACTTTCCTTCTCACCTAGCCCGGCTCTGCTGCTGCAGGGGAGCCACCTGTCCCAAGTTTTCAGGCAGCTCAAAATTGAGGCTCATTCCCAGGACGCTGGTGTGGACTGGGCCCAGGAGCCAAGTGTAAGGCTGGTGGCAGGGGGCCCCCCTCTCCATCCCTCCTTGGATCCCACAGAAAAGGCTCCTGAGACCAGACCCGCCACGGACAACTGCCAGGCCCCGCTGAGGAACAACCACACCCAGATGTCCACCCGGATAACAAAGTTTTGGCTCCTGGATTTCGCAAATACCGCCAGCCCCTCCTATTTCTCTATGACCACCAAAGGTCACAGTCGAAAAACCCCAGCTCTTCCCGCCAAAATTCCTCAGCCCACTTAAAACAGTATAAAAGCCTTCCCCCCCAGTCAAACGGACACAAATTCTCAGGCCCCCCCTTTCTTGGAACCCGAGAAGCTCACCCAGGAGCACGCAATAAAGTCACGTTGTTGGCCCCACTCTCCATCTCTGTCTCTTTCTTTCAAGGCCGAAAAACTTTCCATTTGGTGCCAAAACTCAGGAAGGGAGCCTTAGCCGTGCCGGCCTGCCTGAGGCCTGTGGTTGTCCTGTCCCCTCTCGTGTCGTCCTAACCTCAGACTGGGACCTCCAGTGGACACCAGACGGTTAATTGCCCTGGGCAAGTCCCTCTGCCCTTGTGGTCCTAGCCCCATGTGTCCATTCCAGGGTCTCTGTCCATAAAACCATGGGCCCAAGTCAGAGATCCTCCACCATAGGGACCTGAGTGCCTCAGGGACGCCCCATCCACTAGTCCATCCTTCCCAAGGCTCAGAGCCTTCCCTCCAAGGCATGATCAGGGATCTGGGCCGCCGGCTCTCTCCCTTTGTGATTTCTCCCACATTGAAAAGCGTTTACGCTCCTTTTCTAATGACTGCCAGCCCACACCAAAGAGTTCCGCTATCTTACACAAGCATGTGATTTGACCTGGCATGACATTTTTGTTATTTTGGCTTCTACTCTTACTACTGATGAAAAGGAAGGTGACTGGGTGGCGGCTAGAGACATGCCGACCAAGTCCATCTAACGGACGGCACCATGCCTGTCAGGGCCAAAGCTGTCCCACGCAGTGAGTGAGAGTGGGAACACCAACCAGACACCCCCGCCTGCCGAGATGGTAGAACCCGCCGAGATCGCACACTGCAATGTGTTCTTGCCGGCCTCCAGCCCGCTGCCCATCGGGCAGTTAATTATGACAAGCTTAGAGAAGTCACTCAGAAGCCAGATGAAAGTCCCGCGGCCTTCCTCAGCCGCCTTACGATGCTCTCATCCAACACACCCGCTTGGACCCCACTTCCCCAGCAGGGGCCACCGTCCTCGCAACTCACTTTATCACCCAGTCCTCCTCTGACGTTAGACACAAACTTAAAAATACAGAAGGAGGCCCTCCGACCCCCATCCGTGACCTGGTGAACGTGGCATTTAAAATCTTTAATTCCCGAGCTGAACAGGCAGAGGCCCAAAGGGAGCCCCGTGTCCACCAAAAGGCACACCCAAGCCTTGGTGACAGCCCTGCGGTGGTGGGACCTGAGAAGCCATCAACCTTGTCTACGGTGACCAGCCGCGCTCCACCAGGCACCTGCCTCCAGTGCAGGAAGCAGGGCCACTGGGCCAGCGGTGCCCGCAGCCATGTCCGCCCGCCAAGCCTTGCCCGCACGTGGTCAAGAGGGACACTGGTAATGTGACTGCCCCTCGGGACAGAAGTCCGGAGACCCGGTCCTTGCTTCCCTAGACCTGCCGATGGCAGTTTGGGGCCTGGCTGCCCAGTACGGAGGAGGCCCCAACTCGGCGACCCTGCCCACCCCCGCCCAGCCCAGGGTAACAGTCAAGGTAGCGGGTGAGGCAGTGTCCTTTCTGGTTGACACGGGGCTGCCTACTCTGTCCTGTCTCCGTTATCAGGCCCTGCTTATCCTTCTCAGGTGTGGGTCATGGGTACCTACGGCAATCCCTCTCAGCCCCCACCACCGCCCCCTCACCCACTCCTTCCTTATCATGCCCTCCAGTCCCGCTCTGCCTCAAAAAAAAAAAAAACACTTTAAATTTAAACAAAAACATTGTTCCTCATGCTATTGTTACGTTGAAACTAATTTTTTGTGAGAAAACATACCACACACTGAACTCTTTTAGGGTGTCCTTGAGAGAGGACCATGGGAGCGTCCTCACAGCCAAAGTGCGCTTGAGCCCGCGCTTCACCCCTCAGGACCAGGCCCCCTGCTGCACTCCAGCCCTGGCAACCAGCGTTCCCTCCGCCCCTTCCCTGCCTGGCCAATCCCAAACTGCGCCCCGGCTGCGTCACGACGTGACCCCCGTGACCTCCACAAGACCAACTCCACTCACCTGTTCTTTTTTTTTTGAGACAGATCTGCTTTTGTTGCCGAAGCTAGAGCGCTGTGGCGTCAGCCTAGCTCACAGCAACTTCAAACTCCTGCGCTTAAGTAATCCTGCTGCCTCAGCCTCCCGAGTAGCTGGGACTACAGGCATGCGCCACCATGCCAGGTATTTTTCTATATATATTAGTTGGCCAATTAATTTCTTTATTTATAGTAGGAGTGGGTCTCACTCTTGCTCAGGCTGGTTTTGAACTCCTGACCTAAGGGCAATCCACCGCTCAGCCTCCAGAGTGCTAGGATTACAGACGTGAGCCACCGCGCCCAGCCCAACCAATTCTTTTGTACTCTTAAACAATTGAATGGTTTTCCATGTCCATAAACCTTAAATATAGTTTTACGTGACAGTATTCTCTGGATCCTGCTTTTTGGTGCTGCAACTTGCTCCTGCTAGCTCACCTCCTGAGAACTCAGTCTCTCATTTATCTACAAACGGGACAGTTCAGTTTCCTCTTTCATTTCACGAATGCGCAGAAAAGCCAATTCAGATCAATTTGGGAAGGAAGAGGCAATCAATGGAGAAGACCGTTAGAGTGCACCGGCTAGTCAAAATTAGTCCTCAACAACTTCCTACGAAAAAGAATCCACGCTCAGGAGCCAGGATAACCAGGACCATCAACCCAGATCGGGAGCTCTGGGGACTCAGGAGGACTTACCTGTTCCACCCAAGGGAAAGCTCGTAGCCAGGGTGTCCCAGGGCCCTGCTGCTACCTTGGCGCGGATGTTGGCCTTCACGGAATCCTGGTCTTTCTTTGAACCTCAGTGTGAGCCCATCTTGTCAGAAGGAAGAACCAAACCCTTTAATAAAGAGTTATTCTGATCTCCACATGTGTGACTACCTGGAGCACACGCCTCATCAGGAGTCCTGAGAATATGTGCCCAGACTACTGAGTACAGTTTGGTTGTACACGTTCATGCAGACAGGAACTTCAAAGAAGGCCCTAAGTCTGTATGTGGAGATGTATTTGTTGCTGAAGGCAGGACTTCTTAAAGAAGTGTCTTCTTGGCCGGGCGCGGTGGCTCACGCCTGTAATCCCAGCACTCTGGGAGGCAAGGCGGGCAGATGCTCGAGGTCAGGAGTTTGAAACCAGCCTGAGCAAGGCAAGACCCGTCTCTCTATAAAAAAAGAAACTAATTGGCTAATATATATACAGAAAAAATTAGCGGGCATGGTGGCGCATGCCTGTAGTCCCAGCTACTCGGAGCTGAGGCAGGAGGATCGCTTGAGCCCAGGAGTCTGAGGTTGCTGTGAGCTAGGCTGACACCACGGCACTCTAGCCTGGGCAACAGAGTGAGACTCTGTCTCAAAAAAAAAAAAAAAGAAGTGTGTTCTTATTTGTTATAGGTACACCAATGTTCAGAGCAGCATTTTTCTCAGTGGTAAGCGTTTAAGAACAACTCAAGTGTCTATCAATGAATGAATGAACAAAATGTAGCATATATTCAATGGATTATTATTTCAGCCTTGAAAAGAATGAAATTCCGATACATACGACAGCATGAATGAGACTTGAAACATTATTCTAGTGAAATAAGACAAGACACATAAAGACAATAGACTGAATGATTCCAATTTTAGGAGGTAAAATCAAATTCATGGAGATTAACAAGGCAGGGGGAAGAGGCATTGGAAATTATTTTTAATGGGTAGAGTTTTAGATAGGGTGATGAAAAAGTTCCAGAGATAGTGGTGCCAGTTGAACAATGTAATGTACTTAATGCCACTGACTTGTACACTTAAAAGTGGTTAAAATAGTGAATTTTATGTATGTGTTGTTATGTAATTTCATAATAAATAAAGTAGAATCAACCCATGGTATAGGAGATAATTTGAATTTTATCTGATAAAACTTGCATCTAGATATGAAGAACCCTTACAATAAGCACAAATAGCCCAATTACAAAATGACAAAGGATCTTTTTTTGATAGAGTCTCACTCTGTCGCCAAGGCTAAGGTGAGTGCCATGGCGTCAGCCTAGCTCACAGCAACCTCCATCTCCTGGGCTCAAGCAATCCTCCTGCCTCAGCCTCCCTTGCGAGTAGCTGGACTACAGGCATGACCACCATGCCGCTAATTTTTCTATAATATTAGTTAGCCAATTAATCTTCTTTCTATTTATAGTAGAGAGACAGGTCTCACCTTGCTCAGGCTGGTTTCGAACTCCTGACCTCAAGCAATCCGCCTGCCTCGGCCTCCAGATGCTGTGGATTACAGGTTGTGAGCCACCGGGCCCGGCCTTTTTTTTTTTTTTGGAAACAGTGTCTCATTCTGTTGCCCAGGTTAGAGTGCCATGATGTCAACCTAGCTCACAGTAACTTCAAACTCCTGGGCTCAGGCAATCCTCCTGGCTCAGCCTCCCAAGTAGCTGGGACTACAGGCATGTGCCACCACGCCCGGCTAATTTTTTCTATGTATTTTTAGTTGACCTATTAATTTCTTTCTATTTTTCAGTAGAGACGGAGTGTCGCTCTTGCTCAGGTTTCGAACTCCTGTTTGACCTTGAGCGATCTGCCACCTCAGCTTCCCAAAGTGTTAGGATTACAGGCGTGAGCCACCACTACTGGCAGGCAAGGGATCTTAATAGACATTTTTCAAAGACATACAAATGGCTAATAAGCATATGAAAAGATGCTCAATACTAATCATCAGGGAAATGCAAATCAAAACCACAATGAGATACCATTCCACACCTACTTGGGTGACTGAATAAAGAAAAATCATCACCCATTCATTGTTTGCTTTTATCAAAATATCACACAAGGAACCAAAGTGGCTTGTGCCTGTAATCCCAGCAATTCAGCAAGCTGAGTTGGGCAGATCACTTGAGGGCAGGACTTTGAGATCAGCCTGGGTAAAATAGTGAGACCCCATCTGTAAAAACCAAATAAAAATTAGCCAAGGGTGAGGCATGCAACTGTAGTCCCAGCTACATGGGAGACTGAGGCAGGAGGATCGCTTGAGCCCAGGAGTTCAAGGCTGTGGTGAGCTATGGTCACACCATTGCACTCCAGTCTAGGTGACAGAGTGACAAAACAAAAATCACATGTACCCCATAAATGAGTATAACTAATATGTACCCATAAAAATTAAAAGGTGAAAAATTTTTTTCAAAAAGATAAGTGTTGAAGAGAACGCAGAGAAATCAGAACCCACATGCACCGCTGGTGGGAATGTAAAAACCGCACAGCTGTTTTGGAAAACAGTCCAGCAGTTAATCAAACGACTAAACGCAGTACTGTATGACCCAGCAATTTCACTTCTAAGTGTATGCCCAAGAGAAATGAAACACGAACTTGTATGCAAATTTTACCAGCATCATTCATAACAGCCAAAAAATGGAAACAACCCACACACCCGTCAAGAAACAGATAAACAAAATTTGGCATAGCTACACAACAGAATGCAGCCATGAGAAAGGAATGCTGATCCGTGTTCTGACATAGATGAACCTTGAAAGCATGCTAAGTGAAAGGAACCATTCACAAAAGACCACATAGTGTAGGATTCCATCCATGTGAAAGTCCAGAATAAGGAAATCTACAGAGACAGGTTAGTGGCTACTTAGGGCCCAGTCGGGCAGGGAACAGGGGGATGATCACTAAAAGGTACAGGGTTTCTTTTTGAGGGGATGAAAATGTTCTAAAATTGACAATAGTGTCTCATGTTTATGCATATACTACAAACCATTAAATTGTACACTTTAATTGTATAGCACGCGAATATTTAATAAAGTTAAAAATAGCACTAAGAAAAGATCATTTACAAGAATGAAAAGTACCTCTTGCATCTAGGAATTACTTTTGGTTTGTATATTAGGGTTTCAGAAACTCTGAAACACAACATCCTGTAAGCCCCATCTCTGTGCCCCAGGGCTCTCTCAGAATAAATAGGAGATATATTGAAAACCCACATAAAAGCCCTACTAGCCACACAAGGTCAGTAACATAACCCGGTCACTGCCACCAGCTAAGCAGAAGCAGTTCGAGATCACCTGGAAAACGACCTGTGGGGGTAAAATAGAGGGAGAGGAGGCAAGTCAACAAAACACAAACCCAAAACACCTAAACCCAAACAAAAAATACCTCCCTGGCTTCCTTCCATAAGGTCATAAGTTTTAAATATATTAAGGAAAAAAATACATTTAAATAGTCTTAAACATAGCTTTTCTTAGAAAAATCTTCAAGGCAGTTTCCTTTAAACTGATGAGACAAGTGTTACATTGTTCTGTGTGAATTGCTTTTAAGTGCCAGTTAATAAGCAGAATTACTATATTGTGTAACAGTTGCACAAACAAGAGCAATGAGTTGTGCTCCATACGCTCTAGTGCCAGGAAATCTCACTTCATTAGGATTTGGCGACGTCAGCCTTCCCTTTTACTCTAATCAAAGAATTTACTATCAAAATTCAAAAGTTGATCTAAGGCCACCTTGTATACACATCGTTCCCCAGATCATCATTTAAAGCAATCTTTAATAAAACACACACGCAAAACTCATGCCATTGATAAGAATTTATTCTTCCCTTAAATAAGACTATAGTGCTCTGAATTGTCTATTTATATAAGCTACAATTCTAAGATTTAGGCTAAGAATTTTTTTTTTTTTCCATCAAGAATAAGACTCCTCTGAAAAACAGGCCAGGGAAAAAAATCCAAAGCTGTCCCAAGGAATGGAAACCGAGGCTCAGCAGCAACAACTGACGTTGTCCCTCCATACGCCCATGTCACAGAAGGTGCTCACCCACACAGGCCCGTCCTTATACAACCTGCGCTGCGATTCATGGAGAGATCTGACACACGGAGCTTTCTCCCGAAGGCACAGACAGGCACACGACATTTACTTTCTCCCACGACAGGCTCCAGGTTTCAGTTCGGAGCTCCGTTTGCTAGCGGCAGGTGCACTTAGTAGCTATCATGTCCTCGTACTCTTTGTAAGCGATGGAGCCGTCGGGCTCCACGGTCAGGACGCTCAGGGGGCTGTACCTGGCAGGCACGCACGAGGACCTCGGCACCGAGGGGTCGAGCGTCTCGTGGATGATGTTCTGCACCATGGTGTGAGCCACGGAGCCGTACCGGTGCCCGGCGGCCCTGGGACAGTCCCCTTTGCAGTAGCGAGGGTTGTACCTGCCCGGGGCCACGATCCAGTTGTCCCACTTCAGCTGGCTGAAGCTCAGTCTGAAGTCGTGGAGCTCACACTCGTTTTGGGGGAAAAGGAACTGTTTGAAGTAGTCACTCAGGTTGAGGGAAGCTGGAACCAGGGGCTTCTTCAATTCAGAGACGACAGTGTCCTGCCCTCTCCGGTGACGGGACGACCTCCCATCCTCAGCGGCCTCTTCCCCCACGGGGTAGGCGGACACGTTGCTCCTCTGGTCGGGACCCGGCGAAGGCCTCCTTGCGTCGTGAAGGGACAACCGGCTGTGATGAGCCCGAGCACTGGTGTCATTCAGATACAAGATCAGCGAGGGCGACACCAGGAGAGTCACGTCAGATGGGCCGTCCCGTGCCGAAGGACGCCGAGGCTGCTCTCTCGTGCACGTAAAATTTACAGACATGTGAATCTTCTTGTTGGAGCCCACCAGAGGCTGAAGGAGGGTGGTCACATCGACCTCAATCCATCTGTGTTTCTTGCCAAATTCAAACTGCGAGTTCAAGGTAAAGGAGTGTGGAGCTCCAGGGAGACTCTGGCCAGAAGGCGCTGGCTCCTTTATCACCAGGTTGCACGCACACTTGACAGCAGAGGGAAGAGAAACCGAGTGGTTGACAGTGTACAGCAAGACTGACTTGAGCAGGCGTTCGACAGCGGTGACACGGTCCAGGTCAAACAGCAGGTCCACCGGTGGAAGGATCCCTGGGAAGAAAAACAATCCACCAGTCGTGCTTGAGTATGGATCAAACATCACGGGGAAGTCAAGGAATTAGCATTTCGTATTATTTCTCCCTTCTTTCCACCCACCCCTACTTCCTCAGTCCTCAAGAGGAGGAGGGGGGTTCATGCGAAAAGAACATAATTCCCAGCACCACACTGGACGTTTTATCTCCAGAAAGTCAGGCAGATTTGGCGGTGAACTAAAGCAACAGGCAATCATTATATTCTGAAGTTTCTTTCTTTCTTTCTTCAGATAGAGTTTCGCTCTGTCACCCTGGGCTAGAGTGCAGCGGCATCATCGTAGCTCACTGCGATGTCAAACTCCTGGGCTCAAGCGATCCTCCTGCTTCAGCCTCCCGAGTAGCTGGGACTACAGGTGCCCACCACACCTGGCTAACTTTTCTATATTTAGTAGAGATGGGGTCTTGTGCTTGGGCTCAGGCTGGTCTTGAACTCCTGAGCTCAAGCGATCTTCCCTGGTCAGTCTCCCACAGTGCTAGGATTACAGGTGTGAGCCACTGCCCCCAGCCTGAAGTTTCATTCTTAATTTGCTCCAAACACAGAGGAAATTAATAAGGAACGTATTTTTATCTTTGAGAGACTCTAGAGGGAAAACCATATAAAATATTTATCAGTCTTGTTAAGATGACGTTCTAACCCCTGGTGAATGAAGTCACCCCTGGTGACGTCTAACCCCTGGTGAATGAATTTAAAAAAAACCTTAATTTTCCAAGTTAATTTAGAACATTTGAGATTGAAAACAGATGCTCCAAACCCACTATAATAAAACAGGATATTAAGGAAGAAGGAAGAGTTTTTAAACAGCCACAGCTGCCCTGTTGGGTTATAATGATTTTTTTTTAAGTCATAAGCTAGTGAGTGTAGGACTTTTAAGGCAGGGACCCTCTCTCACACATACAAGACACCAGGCTGAGTCAAAGTGTTGACTAACACTTTGTTCTTGTAAGGACCCACGTTCCAAATAGGGACTTAAGCTCTCCCCTCACAGAAAGCAACAAACAAAGAGAAAATAAACTGATTAACAAAGCACACCAATAGCTTTAAAGAGATTTTAGGCACATTTCTGGGCCAACAGCTTCACGGAATGGAAAACCTTCAGCTTCAGCCTTCCCAAGCCATTAAGTCTCATAGCTTTAAGGTTCTATCATATTAGCCCTCCTTAACCAATGACGGCATCAGGAAGAAAACAGTAAGACTGAGTACCAGATTTGTTTCAGTTGGATACTGAGTACCGAGCAAAATGAAACGCAGTTTAAGGAGCAAGGCCCAGCTCCTTTCTGTAACTGAAGTGCAGCATCTTCTATCATCGCCCCCCCCTCAGTTAACCACTCTCTTACACACCTGCCACCTGGTCTCCAGGAGCCTGCTTGTGCTGGGCACAGGGGGTGAAGAGCCGCACGGTATTGTAGAGGTGACTTCTATTGGATTTGGGAATCCCGTCCTTAGTAGCATATGCCTTATAGAGCTTCTTCATGTAGTGCAAGGCTCTGGAGTCCGGCTGCAGCCTGGGTGCCCCGCCTGGCCCATCAGATAGGACTTTGAAAAGAGGGGGAAGGAAGCCAGATCTGTCTCTCCCATCGACAGGCTGCAGCAAGGACCAAGGCTCAGCCTCAGATTCCAACTCTGCACCAGCTGCAATCTGAGCTTCTCCCCGAGAAGCCTGGGAACTAAGGCTACTAGGAACACAGAGCCAGGCAAAACAGCAAAACCAAAGGAGGAATTTGCTGGAAAGCGCCATGGCTTGTAGGAGCTAGGGAGGAACACATTTCCCCATGCCAGTCTTCTTCCTAAAGGCCAGGAAGGCCCTAGCTTCGTCTCTTAAATAAATTTTAGGTGTGTGGGTGGACTAGCGGGGCTTCTGTAATCAGGCCTCAAGGGTGCCTAGCTGAACATAATTTTTGTCGGCTCTATATCAAACAGCTGATAACACCCTATTTAGCCAATTTGCCCTCATTAGATACAGATTTATTTGGTTATTTAGCTTTCCTCTACCTTTTCCCCACCCCAGGCATTTATTTAAGACCTGTTACATTATCATTATACTAATAGACTAGTTATGTAGCTGAAAGTCTAAGGGAAATTAAGGAATGATCGTAAAATAAAACCTCTTAGTTTTTTGAGAGAGAGAGAAATTAGGATTCCTAAAATGTTTCTTAGGTGCTTGCTGGAACTTCTAAGACATGTGGAAAAGCTAACTAATTATTCGTGATGACACTCAGATGTTGGTATGCAATTTTTGGTATTAGGTTTACTCTCGTCTTCTTGATTCATCTTCACCACCTCTCCCAGTTCCAGGTGCTTAGAATAATTACTCACTCCATGTTCACTTGAAAGGTGAGATTAAAGTCACAACTGGCATAGAAATCCCAGAGAGCAGAGAACTGTTAGGTTGCTAAGTCCTCCAAGGTGGCTTAATACAGACTATGTTCTTGGAATATTGCAACTGTATTTGTAATCTGCTTGAAAGAAAAGGACATCGCCTTAAACCTCGGCTAAAAATATAATACCATGATTTCCTTACTTTGGTCTGTACACCTACCTAGATAGAACTTGGCTGAAAGGTTTTGAGACGTTTCCTGGTGCTATAAAATAAATGAATGCTTTATTTTTTATTGATCACCCAAATGGTGGTAGAACTCACTATGGTATTTTGTCCTTACCTGTTACAAGTATTTATGTTCTTGCCTTGGAGCAGAGGCCAGGCTAGATATTACATATATATATATATATATATATATATATATAATTTTTTAAGGCTGGTCAACTGAAGCAGTGGGAGTGGAGAAAGAACAAAGGAATCTGTAACTGGTTGTGATCAATTAGTCATAAACGCCACTGCACTGGGACCTACCCTACAGTTCAGAAAAATGAGGCAAAGGTACAGCAGGAAACACTGAAACGAGGGCTATCGTTGAAAGGAATGCCACCCGGAAGGAGACTACTTGCTGGAACAAAGTCAACCCACACCCATAGTAGCACACGACACAAAACCAGTTTATGCAGAACCTAGACTGGCAAAACTGAGGTCTGTTTGCAAAATACTGCGTTCACCGCCTGCCCTAGCGCCCTGGTCCGTGGCCAGTCAGCAGTATTGCCGAGCACACAGGCCCCGAACGACAGCCGAGTCCCGGATCACACGGCCGGCAACGCCACGGAACCGTGCAGGCGCGGCATGGGGCGCGGAACAGCCAGCCGCGGCGCGACAGCGTCCCCACGCAGAACTGCGCGTTAGGGAAAACGACGGCGCCTCCCACGCGCGGTCCCCCGCCGCGGAGGAAAGAACTGGGGACAGGGACAACCGCAGGGGCGGGAATCCGGCTGCCACTGAGTATTTCTTTTTTCTTTTTTTGAGACAGAGTCTCACTCTGTTGCCCGGGCTAGAGTGAGTCAGCCTCGCTCACAGCAACCTCAATCTCCTGGGCTCAAGCGATCCTGCTGCCTCAGCCTCCCGAGTAGGTGGGACTACAGGCATGCGCCACCATGCCCGGCTAACTTTTTTATATAGTTTCAGTTGTCCAGATAGTTTCTTTCTACTCTCAGTAGAGACGGGGTCTCGCTCTTGCTCAGGCTGGTTTCGAACTCCCGACCTTGAGCGACCCTGCCGCCCGGCCTCCCAGAGTGCTGGGATTACAGGCGTGGGCCACCGCGCCGGCCACTCACAGTGTTAATCAACTGCCTGACGACTATGCGATAGCTTCGGTGGCTGAATCTGAGGGAGCGCGTGTGCCCTATCTCGGGGAGCTCACGGCGCCCCAGGGGACTCTAACTCGGGGTCACCAAGGGAAGCCTTAGGTCTGCGTCCCTGATTTGGCGCTGGCGTCGTCGACGGCATGGAAACAGCCGACCCCCTTCGGCTGCCGGTCAAGACCCAACGAAGCCGCGCGTTTGGGCCGTACGCTCCGCCCGGTCAGCTCGGCCCCTTTGTCGCCCGCACGCGGCCGTCCCGGGGCTCCCCAGAAAAGCGAGGGGCTGAGGAAGAGTGTCAGCGCCCGGGCGGCCAGGCCCTTCCCACAGCCCGCGCCGTCCCCGCCCGGCCGCGCCCAGACCAGGCGGGGCTTCCAGGGCGCCGCCCACCGCGCGACCGGCCTGCCGCCTCCCCCGGAGACGACAGGACAATGGTATCCCCCGGAAGCGACCTCACGGCCTCCACGAGCGGCTTCCGGTCGTACCGGAAGTGACGTCCGGAGGCCGGTGCCCGCGCGACTCTAGAGGGCGAGGTGACCCAGGTGCGGGAGCCGGTTCTGGGGCGCGGTGTTGGCGGCGGTTGGGAGGGCGGGTACCTGGGGTGGCGGTCCCCGCGCGTCCCCGAACCGAGCCAAACGCGTCTCCGCCCCTCGGTCCCGCAGGGACGCCGCCGCGATGGGCCGCGAGTTCGGGAACCTGACTCGGATGCGGCATGTCATCACCTACAGCCTGTCCCCCTTCGAGCAGCGCGCCTTCCCCAACTACTTCTCCAAGGGGGTCCCCAACGTGCTGCGCCGCATCCAGGCGTCCGCCCTCCGCGTGGCGCCGCGTGAGTGCCCGGGCCTGGGCGGGGACGGCGGGGCTCCCTTCCCCGGCGGCGGCGACCCTGCCGCGGCGGGCCGTGCGCGCCTTTCTCGCCAAATATTCCCGACGGCCCTTGTGCTGGTCACAACATCCTCCCCAGCCTAGGGGGAAACTGAGTCACAGAACCGAAATGACTGGCCTCAGATCGCTTGGGTGACCCCAGCTACTTTTCTGAGGTCATCTTTATCTTCGTGTCGGTGGTGAAATGGTTTTAGCGTGAGCTGACAGTGATGGTACTTGCCTCATGACCGTGCTAAGAACCACCGAATAGACACTTTGAAATGGTGAACTTTATGTCCTGCGAATGCTATCTCAATTATTTGACTTAAATTAATGTGCAGCAGGGGAGGGATAGGGAAGAGTCGGTGACACACTTTTCCGGGTGGACCCCTTTCCTTTGATCCCAGGGTGTATAATGTAACCCTTCTTGATCCTGTGGTTCAAAAGTGGTTTCTTGAAAACCAGAGAGCAGTTAGAGGGCAGAATCTGTTGTTAAGCCAGAAAAGAGGACTGAGGCCTCTTTATTCATATGTCTTATTCATAATACACACTCACTGCTTATTCTCATTTTTTATTTTTAAAGCATTCGTAGTGTTTTATCTTGTCTACACATGGGGGATGGAGGAGTTCGAGAAATCCAAGAGGAAGAATCCAGCTGTCTATGAAAATGACAAATGAGCCCCTCATCTGGATGATGGCTCCCTGTCCCTGAAATCTGGAAGGTTCTTCTCTGGGAGAGGAGTCTGCGCTGTAGTGTCTTGAAGACACAATAAACTTGTATGGGCAGCACTGTTGTGATCTTACCTTTTTGTGAGCAGAATCCTTGGTGTGACTGCTGTTATTTAAGTTCACGAAACTCCCCTCCTCAGCATGGGTCCTCAGCAGTCTTCCCTGGTCTGCGGTTTTGGTGAAGGAGCAGAGCTTTCCCTTTGTTCAATAATCTACAAAACGCAGCCGGGGCAACTGCAGCTCGCCATCTGTGGGTGGCCTGGGCTGTGGGGGGATTGGTTTGTGGCCCTCTGCTCCCGTAACAGCAATAAAGTCTAGTAACTGTATTGCAATTACTGTGTGTCAGGTACTCTACTTAGCCATACATATGAACTCTTTTAAACCCCACAGCAACCTTTGAAGTGTGGTTATACTCATTTTTCAGATGAGGAAACAGGCACAGAGGTTAAGTCATTTGCCGGAAATCACACAGCAGTGGGTGGTGGAGTCCTGCGCTAAAGTGTGCACTCCCGAAGCTGTGCTGCACTGCCTTGCCTCTTAGGGCAGGACCGCCTCGCCTGGGGCCCAGTCAGCTGTAGAGGGGATGAGGTGATCCCCGCGCCTCTACAGCAGTTTCCTATTTTCATACCAGGGAGCCAGCAATGGTTTTTAGCCATATGTGGTCCATAGAGCCTAATATATTTCCTTTGGCCCTTCAAGAAAGTTCGCTTCTGCTCTAGAGCCTTTGAATTATCTTTTTAGTAGAAAAGTTCCCCCCTTCACTGAGATGATGTGGTTGGCAATTTTACTCTAGTCCCTTATAGAGCTTCCTTCTCTAAGCTCGGGGCGTGGATCTTGCCTGTGGCGGGGATGCCGAGGCAGGGGGCTTGTGGGACATGGGAGTTGTCACAGCTCAGTGCTCCTGTGCAGGAAATGAGATGGAATCTGGGATCCAGTTTCAGAAACTTTCTCTCTTTAAAGGATACTTCCTGCTAGCAGCAGCTTTCAGTTTGGCTCACATGGTGTCTGTACTGCTAATGGTTGCTGTGGCCTTTTAACACCCCAAAGTAAAATACTTCAAAACAAAAAATCCATAAGATAAATCGCATTAATTTTTGTTGTTTGAGACAGAGTCTTGCTTTGTTGCCCAAGCTAGAGTGAGTGCCGTGGCGTGGCATCAGCCTAGCTCACAGCAACCTTAATCTCCTGGCCTCAAGCAATCCTCCTGCCTCAGCCTCCCTAGTAGCTGGGACTACAGGCATGCGCCACCATGCGGCTAATTTTTTGTATATATACTTTTAGTTGGCCAATTAATTTCTTTCTATTTTTAGTAGAGACGGGGTCTCGCTCAGGCTGGTTTCTAACTCCCGACCTTGAGCAATCCGCCTGCCTTGGCCTCCCAGAGTGTTAGGATTACAGGCATCAGCCACCTCACCCGGCCAATGGCATTAATTTTGAGGCTGAAGGTTGGGGAGGGGAGGTGCTGAGTTTGATAATCGTGGGCCCATTCCCTTAAACTGTCACGTGCTGTGATACAGGCAGGAAACCTGTATTTTTTGTTGTTGAGAGAGAGTCTCATTTTGTTGCCCAGGCTAGAGTGCCGTGGCGTCTGCCTAGCTCACAGCAACCGCAAACTCTTGGGCTCGAGCAATCCGCCTGCCTTGGCCTCCCAGAGTGTTAGGATTACAGGCATCAGCCACCTCACCCGGCCAATGGCATTAATTTTGAGGCTGAAGGTTGGGGAGGGGAGGTGCTGAGTTTGATAATCGTGGGCCCATTCCCTTAAACTGTCACGTGCTGTGATACAGGCAGGAAACCTGTTATTTTTTGTTGTTGAGAGAGAGTCTCATTTTGTTGCCCAGGCTAGAGTTCCGTGGCGTCTGCCTAGCTCACAGCAACCGCAAACTCTTGGGCTCAAGTGATCCTTCTGTCTCAGCCTCCCAAGTAGCTGGGACTACAGGCATGCGCCACCATGCCCAGCTAGTTTTTTCTCTCTATATTAGTTGGCCAATTAATTTCTTTCTATTTATAGTAGAGACGGGGTCTCGCTCTTGCTCAGGATGGTTTCAAACTCCTGACCTTGAGTAATCCACCCGCCTCGGCCTCCCAGAGTGCTAGGATTACAGGTGTGAGCCACCTCGCCCAGCCTGGAAACCTGCATTCTTGAGCCATAAGTTTTTCATCCATGAAATAGAAATGTTAGAGTGAGTGCCATGTGTCTAGCATAGTGCTACAGGCTTGACAGGGGACAGTGTCTGAGGAAAACTCCCCACCTGCCCCTGTAGACAGTTTGGCTCTTTGTCCAGATTTGTTCCCAGGTCTCATAACATATTTGGGTCATAGACTCCTTTGAAAATCTGATGAAAACTGTGGACACATGCTTACCTTGCAGAGCTTCAGAAGGTTCACAGGCCAGGGGAAGACCACCGCTTTGACAGGCCCTGGTCTTTCTCAGGGTCTTTCTGATCTTTGCTCCAAGCTTCCTGGCCATGTTTTACCCTCAGACTGTTTCTCCCTGGTTCTATTCCTTTGAAGACGCCAGCTCAGAAGACTCCAACACCCTTTCTCAGCCCAGAGGAGGCATCGAGCCTGTTGCTCTGAATCCTTTTCATTCCAGGAGTGCTCTGTTGAGAAGACCGCTGTCCCCTCTAAGCCCTTGGATGTGCTGAGCTTCTTTGGCTGAAATTAAAGGCTGCTTTAAGCCTGTCTCTCATCCAGGGGTTTCCTTCTTTAAGCTTGGGGGCACAGAGCTCACCTGTGCAGCAGGGGTGCTGAGGCAGCGAGTGTGGAACATGAGTTGTCCTGGCTCAGAGCTCTTGTACATGATACGGGATCTGGGACCATTTTAGGGACCATTCTAGTTGCAGAAATCTATGAAGGAGAACCGAGTAAAGCCTTTAAGGAATCGCAGCTAATGTGGGCCTCAGCGCCTCAAACCCGTCCACCTGGAGCCTCCAGCCCTGGCTGTGGCTCAACCACGTGCTCCTTTTAACCCTTTGTTCTCTGATGCTCCTGCCCACACAGGGACTTTTATTTATGGGCTGCAGAGCCTGGTGAAAGGAGCTCTCGCTTCAGCCTGCCAACATAGTTCCCCAAATTGCAGGCCTAGTCCCAAAGTCTGTGCCAGTTCCAGCTACCAAAAAAGTAAATACACTTTGACCCTTTGTTGAAATTTTACCAGGAAAAGTTTCTCCATTTCAGAGTCTTTCATCTTTTATTAGCCACCTCCTGCTCAGGGACAACAAAAAAGTTTCTAGTTACTGCCAAGTGCTCATGATCTCTCTACCTGGAATGTGTTTCCAACAGCTGCTCACGTATCTACGGCCTTTCTCCCATTTCATCCAAGGCACTTAACTCGGACCCAGAAAATCCCTGGGAGTGGTATCCAGAGTTGCCAAGCTCTCAGCTATCATACTGCTTCAGTCTCATTTTCTTCTTGTAAATTAATCATTTGAACCCCCAAATGTCAGTGCCTGAGAGGCCTGAGAGCTACTCCCATGTCAGTGATGGAATAGGAGACTAAGCCCAAGGATGGGTAGGGCTGGCCTGTGGGCAGTCACATGGCATACACCTAAGCGCCTGCCTCCCAGCCGAGTGTTCTTTCTCCTACGGCTGAATGTTAAGGGCTGTTTAAGTCTTTCTATGGAAGAAGGAGCATGTAGTTATGTGTTTATTCATTCAGCAAAATGCTTGATTGCAGAGAACTTTTACTTTTTTAATTTCAGGAATAGACCTTCATAGTCTATCAAGAAGTATGGATGGCCCGGCTCGGTGGCTCACACCTGTAATCTTAGCACTCCAGGAGGCCAACGCTGGAGGATCGCTCAGACCAGCCTGAGCAAGAGTGAGACCTCGTCTCTACCAAAAATAGAAAAAATTAGCCGGGCATGGTGGCACATACCTGTACTACTACAGGTACTGGGGAAGCTGAGGCAGCAGGATCGCTTGAGCCCAGAAGTTTGAGGTTGCTGTGAGCTAGGCTGACACCACGGCACTCTAGCCCAGATGACAGAGTGAGACTGTCTCAAGAATAAATGTAAATAAACATGGGATGGCTGTGGACAACTGCTGCCTAAATGATTGTTCGCTTCTGTAAGTTTGATTCTTGCTCCATATTTAATTTAAATAACTACAAAGTTCATGTAGACCTATGCTGAAATAGTTTCCCTAATAGTGGTTCCTTCCACAGAAAATAACTAATGGTTTTTCTTTTGGGGAAAGGGGGTGGCATACAAGATAGAAGCCTGACCCAAAAGGGCTCTGCAGTGCTGTTCTTCCCCCTACTCCTGGGGGCCCAGGGCTTCAGGTCAGGCTCTTCCCTTGACTGTGGTACTGGCTTTACAAATTAATAAAAAAGACTAGTTGGGTTTTGCTTGGAGGACCAGACGGCAGACACGGAGGGTGAGAAGTGCCCACGTTTTGGAGGAGCAGTTTCCAGACCCATCTGCCATGTCTTTGCAGGCTGGTTAAGGGACGGCTGGCACCGAGTCCACAGACCCAGCTGGCTCTAGGACATCACGTTGTTAAGCCTTTTACTTATCTAATCGCTTTTGTGTTCTTACCCAATGTTCACTGGGTCACTGCACGGCCCTTCCCCCACCCTGCGAAAGTTCCTGGTTAGGCCCCTACCTGGGATCATCCGGGATCCAAGCTCAGGGGTGAAGGGACAGAGCAGCCAACCAGTCTGGAATTCGCAGCGTTGGTTCGTTGGGTTTGGTATGTGTGACTCGTCTCTCCTCCATGTTCCCCAAGTGACATCAGTGGTGTCCCCCTCTAGGCCTGACCCCAGTGTCCTGAGAGGACTAGAACAGCACAGTCCGCTCTGTGGAGTCACATCCGCACAGCCCCAGCCCTGAGGTGCGTCGTGCCGTCCTCCCCGCCCTCAGCAAGGAGCTCCCCCGTCTGCCTGGCAGCGGACTGGCGACCGTCCTGTTCCACCTTCAGCTCATCCACTTTCCCCTGTGGAAAAGGAACAAGAGGCTCTTCCCCAGCGTCCAGCCTGTGACGGCGAGAAGGGCCTTGGGAAGCGGTATCAGCCGAGTTTGTAGGGAGACACCAGGCAGACAGGCATCTGTCTCGGCTTATTACCCTTCCAGGTGGCAGGAAGATAAAGTCCCATGAATCTCCTTACTCGAAATTCATACCTTGCCCCAAAACTTAAAATGCCCATGTCATTGCATGAGCGCCCACGACAACTCATGGTGTGGACAGATGTCCTCCCTTGGTCTGGAAATCCGCAGTGATTCCCATCCAAACTCACGAATGTTTGCCGCTTTGAAGACATCTCAGCCCTACGCTTGCTCCCCTGAGGTTGCTGGGAAGGAAAAGCTCTGATTAGGTCCCAGTCAACTACTGGGACGATGGCCCAGCTTATTATTTATAATAATGTCACTATTTAGGACTCCCAAAGTCCTAAGCTCCCCCATTAATTTAGGATATCCTGCCACCTCCTCACTCACACAAGCAGCAAAATCCAGTCTATGATCATTGGACGCAGGTGAGTTCCGCATCAGTCCCGCCTGCCCTTGCCCTGGGAGTGGGCAGACTCTGAATTTCCCACAGCTGGTGTTCATTCTACTGGGGCGATGGACGGATGCAGACCATTGGGGTGACGGCCCATCTCTGCAGGTGCAGGACCTGGGGAACTCTAGACTGTGTGTGTTGAAGCATCTTCCCACAAAAGGAAGACAAGGGCCTTGACCAACTGCCCATACACAGTTGACCAGGGCTCCTTTCCCACACAGGGCTGAAAGAGGTCAACATCGTTTCTGAAGACTTCCTCATTAGAATTCTATTTTTATTAGCGTGATCTCACTGAGCTATTTTGGAATAGAAATGTGGCCAGGTGCCTGGCCTCCCTCAGTGGTTTCACGTGGCTTTCAGAGGGAAGGAGGGCAGTGCTGACTTATGGTAAAGTGGCTGGGAAGGTCCAGGCCAGCAGCACAGTCACTCAAAGTCCAGATGGGTTATCAGTAAACACGAGTGCCTGAAGGGCAGCCGCTGAGCACATTCCTCTGGTAGACATTAACTTATTAAATCCACCCCGGTGACAAATACGAACTTTGCCCCCATCTCACCTGGCAACCACAGAAGAGGTGGTGCCAGTTTATAAACCACCGTGGGGACTGTCCCTGGCTCTAAGGCTCCCACGTCCCCTCCGCCGAGATGTGGCACCTGAAGCTCTGTGCGGTGCTCATGATCTGCCTGCTGCTGCTGGGCCAGGTACGGAAGGACGTGCGGGGTGCGGGGTGCGGGGCTGGCAGTGGTGGGACTGAGGGGGGGACCCGAGAGCCCGGCTCGGTTCTGAGGACTGTTCCTCTGCCGAGTCCACAGCATCCTGGGAACGACCATTCATCGAGGTGACTCTTTGCCCTGCAGGTGGAAGGCAACCCAGTACCAGAACTGAGCTCAGTCAAAAGAAGGCTGCGGAGAATGACCCCGTTTTGGAGAGGCGTTTCCCTCAGGCCCATAGGAGCCTCCTGCCGGGACGATTCTGAGTGCATCACGAGGCTTTGCAGGTAATTCCACAAGCACGCGAGCAGGGCTGGGCCCCAGAGCCCTGGGACACCGGGCAGGAGTGATCGGGAGACTCTTAGACGTCAGGGTGAAGCTGGGACTGAGCAGTGCCTGGGCTAAGGCTGGGAGCGCCACGGAGAATCCTTAGGAGTTAAGAGCCAAGGGCGGCCCTACGCGGGCCGTGAGAGAATGGGTGTACTTTCCTTTCTTTGGTTTTCCCTGAGACGGGACAGATCAAGCAGAGGAGGGAGTGCAGCAGAGGTGGCCTGGTCACTCCTAGGCTCCATTAAAACCCCCCCTTTCTTTTCCCCTAGAAAGAGACGCTGTTCCCTGAGCGTGGCCCAGGAGTGACGCGCTCGCCCTGGAGAAGCGACGGCAGCACCTGCGACAACGCTCCGTTCTATGGAACGCTGCGGGCGGCGCCGCGCCCGGAGACCCTAAGTGAAGCAGCCTTGTGTTTTTAATATTTAAAGACAGACGTATGCTTTAAATAAGTCTCCATTTCTTCTTAGAATGTCAGTATGTGGATGAGTGTTAACTTGTCAATTTAGAGTTTATTTTTCTATGGATATTATTAAATGTCTCAAATGGAAATTTCAGCTGTCTGGGATCAAGCTCTGAGGGGAAGGGTCCACTCTGTAATCAGAACCAACCAGCGTTGCCCAGGAACGACGTGATAGCGTCTCAGTCTGGAGAGCGTGGTGAGAGCGAGTTCGGCACCGGCTATGCAATGCGCCTTGGCAAGTTCCTAAGGTGGGCGAGGTTGGCACTTGCCCCCTAATGATGTGCCCACGTTCGTCTGTAACTGTCTCAACGTAAGGCAGAACTGGAAAAACCTAGTTTAATAAAACAATGAAAGCTCAAGCCACCACGAACACCAAGGAGGATCTGAGGTCTCTGTGGGGCAGAGCACATTCTGACCTGTGCACAAGGCCCCTCGCCAGCGAGTTCAGAATTTCTGTGTCAGAAAATGAGACCTGGGCTGGTGGGACCAGACTTTTAGAGAAGTGTACGTACTACTGGACCCTAAAATGCAAAACAGGAGTTGCATGAAAAAGGGCAAAGTAAGAGTTGAAGTGTAAAGAGCACAGTGTTTATAAACTTTAATACAGAAAATCTATTTGATATTTATTAAACTTAGTTTCTCCAGCTATGGTTTGGCATTATACAAAGCATCTTAATGACACAGTAGAGTTAAAAAGATCTTTACAAATTGAAATGTGATACCCTTGTCTCCAAATATTTTAATTGCCATAAATTTGTTTAAAAATACACATTAAACGCATGTTTGACACTCTAAACTTTCTATAATTTCAATACCACAAAATACATATAATATACTATACAGATGTGGAAAAATCTAGTTAGTATATAATACTTTGCTCACCATTAACAGCTTCATTATGTGAAATGCACATACTGACTTAGAAATCCTAGCTTTTGAGCCCCAAAGTACCTCTGAAATTGTAATGTATTGCAACAAATAAAAAAATCACAGTATATAATTGAAATTTTGGTTGAAAAATGTCAGATGCCTAAATATTTTGGGTAAAAGAAATGTAAAACAAAGATCTGGATCATGTACAAAACAAAGGCATCCTATCCGTCACGAACAGTACCTTTCTGCAGAATCAACAGGCTTTTAGTTTATCAGCGGCTTTACAACCCCTCCAAAACCCTCCCCAAATATCAAACCATTATTTACCAAATAATTTTAATGTCAAATAAGATAAAAGGATTTAATAAATATATAAGTATTTCCATCCTCCATATACAAAATTCCCTAAAACCATTCGAAATGGAGGCTAGACAGAAACTTTCGTAGCTGTGCTTACCAACTGCACGCCGGCCTGCCTAGGCGGGGCCTGTCTGGGCACTGTCCGCTGGGCCAGCTCTGTTGGTGAGCCCCACCCCACCCCAGTCCTGCTGAATGCAAACGTCGATGATCTGCCAGGTGTGTGCGCACAGGTGTAAAATGGGGACACTTCTTGAACAGCAACAACAAACCCAACGAGTATGGATGATCACGGCATTGGTTTGAAAGGCAGCATTTCCAAATAGGTATTTTCCAGAGAGGAACACAGCAGGTAGAAAATTCCAACGGTTAAAAGCTGAAAAGAAACCTCCGCGTGGAAGCAGGAAGAGGTCACAAAACTAACTACTACTAGAATTTCTGTGCAGGAGTTTTTCCACATTCACTTAGAAAGCTTTGTTTTCTGTTTCTGTTTTAAGAATGGCAAAAGTCACGCTTAGCCGAGCAACGGCGGCACGGAGAGGTCAGTGCCGACGTTCCTGAAAGCCAGCTGCGTTACGTGGCGACGCCAAGGCTGCCGTCCTACGACACCCAAAGATCTCTAAGCCTAAGGATCTCTCAGTCTCTAAGACTTAACTGTAATACCAAATTCCATTAAGAGATGGTTACTCTTTCTCCCTTTTCTGGAGACAGCAAGTTCTTTTTAATTAACCACAGGGTTTCATGTGAACAGGGGTTTAGTAAGATTAGCATTCACCTTACCAACTCCTGGCAATTCATTTCCTGTCACTTGCTAGCTTGCTTTTAGGGTACAGAAGTCCAAAATGAATTTCTCCATTAGTAAATATGTGAAAGATATGCTCACAAACACAAAGAATTTGGTCTTTTGTCACTACATATTCCAAGCCATTCAATAATTAGCTCTTTAATTGATTTTACGGAATAGCAACCTTAGATATACAATGTTATTACTGGAAAAAAGTCTGCCTCTCCAACACACTGATACATAAAGCTGAAATGAAATCTGTGTTCCACGTATTAGGGAACATGAGTTATAGGAGTCTATACAGATTTGAAATGCTCTGGCTCCCCAGCTTAGGTTTTTAAAAAACATCATCACAATGCCTGAAACAGCCATCCCCAGTAGATGTTCCTGGAATCCAGACACAAACTCCTATAAATCAAAATACACAATGAGCCCATTTTGTTCAATTAGCAACTGGAAAATTAAAATCCTTCCCACCCTGTATGAGCCCTATTACACTACAGACGGGCTCAAATATATTTTAAAGTTATTTCACTACAAATCATAGTAATTAAGGTTTAACAATCTAAGGGAATACACATTGCACCCTTGAACACTGACGTTCAAGGTGTCAACAAGAAAGTGTCTTAGATCAATTTAATAAATAATGTGGAAATAGTTGCACTAAGCTAAAATACTAAACACACACATTTTTGACAAACTAATTTCATGTTTTCATACATACATACATATATATAAAGTGTGTATGTGTACATAATTTTAAGATCCAGCGCTGCAGACCCTCACACCCAGAAGAGTGCACGAGTGCCCTCCCTCCTCTGCACGCCCAGGCACCCCGACTGGAACGCCACTGGCTGCCCTGACCCTCCACTGAGCCCTGGCCTGCAGAGCCAGCATGCTCATTTCTAACAGGTGCCTTTCGTAGGCTCTTGCTTCAATGACGCAAGCTTTTTCATTAACAGTTAATGTACCAAACTTCCTCTGTCATTAAATACAAAATGATGCTGTCTGATCTAGCCGATTAAACCTTGAATGAAAAGAAACGAACAACAATTTCAAAAAAACAGTGAATCTAATAAAGCCACAAGCGTGACACTCAAAGTGCAGCCCAGATGCCCAGGGATCCGCCAGTGCCAAAGCGCTCGGACACACAGGCGCGTGGGCGCGTGCACACAGTGCTCTACAGCGTCCTTGAGTCGGAGAAGTACATCGGTGGTGGCCAACCTTCTCCACTCTTCGGCAGCTACAGCTGTAAATTTATCTGAAGTACTCACTGCTTATAGAGTCACTTTTGGCTACTTGCCCAGAAAAAGGTGGCACTGAGGCAAGGAACGGGCTGGATGCTCTCCAGCCAGACTGGAGCCTGCATCACCTGGTGGGAGGGCTCCCCGCAGCCCGCCCAGGTAGGACTGCGACAACCTCCCCCACCATGGCCGGCTGGGCGGTTGCCTGTCAAGAGTCCAGTGGTGCAGGATGTTGCCTCCTGGCATACAAGTGTGGTCTTAGAGAGCAGTCAACAGAGTAATTGTTAAAATAGTTGCTATTTCTAGAATTAACTATATAGTAAGTACAAGTCTCAGACTAAGGTAAGATTTTAGCCACTTGTCAAATTCAGTTTTAAATGGCTAGAAAACACTGAGGACACGACTGTGGAGGGAGGCACGTCACCTGCACAGGTGTCCAGAGCATGTGCTAGAGCAGACGACGGCATGGACAGGGCATCTGAGGACACAGGCACAGGGAGGGAGCAGCATTTCCACAGCTGTGACATTGAGAATTCAATCATCTAGAACAGGACTTTGATCCACCGCCCAGTGCTGGGCTATGGGAAAAACCCTCCACAATGAAAAGCTTAAAAAAATTCATTCTCCAAGAATTAACACCGTTTTGAAGAGAAACATCTTATAGAGCAGCACCATAAAACACGCAGGAAACTCCGCTTTAACTAAGTATCAGTGTGACCCAAGAAGTGCTCCTGCTGCCTTTCAGGACACACGAGAGACCAGAATATACCAGAACTTAGACGTGCCCCACTGGCTGGTGCTGAGTCTACAAGTCCAGGGGATACTTTTCCCATTTCTAAGACATCACTGCAAATTAAGGAATCAGAGTCAGAGAAATCAGAGGACAAGACATACACGCACTTGCTTAATAACAGTTATTTCTTACTAAATAACTACCATGATCACTGAGAAGTTGCCTCTTAAGGAAAACTGTTTCTAGAACACACTAAGATTAAATTAAAAAGATATCAGAGGCAATTTATCCAAGGGAAAAAGGTCAATAAATTCAACATAATTTGTAGGTCTCAATCTTCAGCGATATGTAAAGACAACTTGAGGTACACAAGCACTTAAGAAGCTCCATACACAGGAGGCCACAGGACAATGACAGTACGCCAGCTTCAGAAGTAAGTATAAAAAGACTCAGACACAAAGGATTCACTGCACCACTGGACTTGGAGCTTTTCTACCCTTCTTCCCCCTTTCCCATTTCAAGCCTGAGCAATCAACTACAAACAGTAGGGCAATCTCTTTGTTTTCTGATTGGATGGGTTTATTTTTGGAATGGGGAGAAGGGCAGACTGTTTTTTGAAGCAGCATTGCCCAATTGGTTAGACTAAGTCATGTACCAAAGCATGAGCTTTTCTAGAAGTATTAATCTTTACGTAATCCTGAAGGAAGATTTAGAAGGAAGAGAATTGAACATTATTACTGTAGAAGACCAACCAGTTATGGACAATCTGGTCCTAGTATAAAACTTCATCTGTAAACAATCCATAGAGTCTTCATTTAAAGGTAAGATTTAAGGCACACCAAACATGATAGGGGCATTAAAAACAAAGTGTAGAGGGTAAACGTCTTACCTTTGACTCCTATATGCACCTTGCAGGGAAAGGTACTTTGACACACAACTCTTACAGAGCTGGCTTCTTAAGCTCTACCCTCTTTTCCCCTCCCCTTCCCAAGAGAGCTCACATTAAACCAAGTTAGGTATTCTTCTAGTGTGAATTTTCTGATCCCATCAGAAGCATACATCATTGATGAGGGCCTTCTCAATACAAAAAGAATAAATACAAGACAGGCTTAAAAAGGGGAAACCCATCATCTCTATAGCAGGCATCTGAACTGGGAGTCGTGTGCCAAAAGCACACACACCAAAGCCCAGGCCCACTGCTACGTCAGTCACTGTGTGCTCACATCAGAGCATCGCAATCTACTATGAGCAAAACAAAAGTCTAAAAAAGGTTTTAACTTTCAAACATTGTCAATTAAAGAGACGTAGGCAGCAACCCTCAGGAACTGCCTTTTTCCTCCAGTAACTTATTCTGTTTGAATTAAGTGTCAAATGATTAGCAACAAAAGGGGACACGTGAGCTGGGCACAGTGGGTGCACCTGCAGTCCCAGCTACTGGGGAGGCTGAGGCGGGAGGGTCGCTTGAGCCCAGGAGTTCAAGATCAGCCTGGGCAACACAGCGACATCCCATTTCTTAAAAAACAATATATGTTTTTAATAAAATCCATACAGTTCAAGATTGTCCTTTTATGAAACCGTTCAACATGATATGTGTCTTCTACGGAGTTTGCCTGCCCTCTTCTGTAATGCATCAGATGCAAGTTATAGTCACCT